ACACAAGCCTTACAGTGCTTACTTTGGGGCTAGGCTAATTGGTGTGAGTGTTGGAAATATTTATTATTATTTATTATTATTAATATTATTATCTAGATGTTGCAACATTCTTTTTTTTTATATAATTAAAAGTAGTCTGTCCAGGATTTTTTAGGCAAATTATTTTTAATATAATAAAGTGATATACTAGTCATGATAAAATACATTTCATTCTATTATCAGCTCGGTGAAGGTCGATGTAGGTTTGGATCTTCTACATTGGTTTGTGTAACAATCATATTATTAGATATCCTATCTTCAAAATAGCTCACCTTGACCGAGACTTAGAGTTCGTTCCGATTTGTTTACAACAAGAAAATAAGATCACAATGTTCTGAATTATTATAATATTTCTAGTTGTCCCAGCGAACTTCGTACCGCCATAAAATAGGGGTTGGTGGTAGAAGGATGAAAATTTAGGAATTTTTGTATGATGTATCATAAATAAATAAAAACAAAAAATAGTCTGAAAAAAATTCAAGGGTAGACCCATAACATTTAGGGGGATGAAAAATAGATGTTCGATTCTCAGACCTACTGAATATGCATATAAAATTTCACGGAAATCGGTCTAGCCGTTTTGGAGTAGTTCAATTACGCACACCGTGACACGAGAATCTTTATATATATAATTCTTCTGTGAGTGTGTATGTCACTGAACTTCTCTTAAACGACTGGACCGATTTTGATGAAATTTTTTGTGTGTGTTCAAGGGGATCTGAGAATGGTTTAGATTCACAATTTTGTCCGCTGGACAATGTTTTTTTAATTATTTTTTAATTTATTAGTAGTTGTTGATTTTGGAATGTTTTACATTGGATCCGACAGACGGCGCTACCATACTAGACAGGACAACGTCTGTCGGGTCCGCTAGTTTTATATAAATAAATAAATATTTCCAACACTCACACCAATTAGCCTAGCCCAAAAGTAAGCACTATAAGGGTTGTGTTATGGGATACTAGGGTAACGGATAGAATATATAAATTGTACATACATAAGTATTAAACATCCATGACTGGAATACAAATGCTCGTATTCATCACGCAAACATCTGCCCACACAGTAGCTTATAGGATACAAGTAATTATCTCATCATTAACATCATCATCAGAGTGTTAATGTCCCCACTGCTGGGGCAGAGTCATTCCCTATGGATGAAATAGGGAGATATGGCCATGACACACCACGCGGGCGCAGTGCGGATTGCCGGGTGCTAATGACTGCAAATGCAGTCGAGACCAACGGCTTTACGGAGGAATTCGATTAAGACGAGTTTTGGTCACCCATCTAATGACCGACCACTGCGAAAGCTGCTTAACTTCAACGATTGCAGCCGAACGCGCTAACTACCCGCGTCATCGAGCTCCTCCTAAGTATTAATTAATAGTAATTGTCTAAACCTGACTCATTGACGCCCTGTATGCTGAAATACAGGATGAAATTCCTAGTCAATTCAATTCAATTCCTTTTTGCATATCAGTAATGTACAAAAAGATGTTAAATATAAGTTATGACAAATACGATCATTATGGACCCTGTCTGGCAAGCATCTAAATGAGGGATAGAAGCGCGCACTTGTAATAATCAAACACACACACGCACACACACACATACACGCACACACACATACACACACACACACACACACACACACAAACATAACAGATATATTGAACACTTTAGACTAAACATACAAAATGTAAAAAATCGTTATTTATTTGTAACCAATATGGTATTAAGTTTGGAAAAGTTATGGAAGAGCGAGAGTTCCTGACACAGGCAATTAAATTTGTCTACTAGGGATTCTCAAATATTGTATCACTAGCATAATATTGGTTATAGAAATAAAGTATTTTTGATTTTTGATTTTTGAAGCGCGGAGTTACATTCAAATGTCTATGTAAATTTATAGATTGAAAGAGTTAGGTACTGAATGTCACTATAGGTAATTCATATATTAATTAAAATAATTCCTAGTTCGGCAGCAGATGTTAAAGATTGTCTTTAATATTCGTAAGCTAATTAAAGGTGTTTATAGTATACTAGCTGACCCAGCGAACTTCGTACCGCCCTAAAAAAATAGGGGTTGTCCAGCGGACAAAATTGTGAATCTAAACCATTCTCAGATCCCCTTGAACACACACAAAAAATTTTATCAAAATCGGTCCAGTCGTTTAAGAGAAGTTCAGTGACATACACACTCACAGAAGAATTATATATATAAAGATAAAGATAAGACATAATGTTACTTATCGCACATCAGAAACAATAGGGTATAAAGTCGGCAAAACTATTTATTTTTTTATGTGCCTTTCGAAAAGTACATTTTTTCTCTATAAACTGGTAAGATAATTGTATTTTAATTCGAAATAGTTTTTGAATTTTAGCAACACATGTCGTCAATTTCTAGGCAAAATTTATGATTGTGAGTATTCTAAACAGTATTAAGTTAATACCCTATTGCCCGTTCGGATTAATAAAACTTCAATTTTATTTAAATTAATACCCTCTGGCCTGTTCAATTTTATTTAATATGTTATTTTCAGCGATATTATTTAAAAATGATTACTAGTTGTAATTTCAACATAAGCCATTTGAACTGCTTATAGGGTATTCTCTTTACCCAGTCACATAAAAGTACCTTTAAAATAAAAACTACTATTGATACACTAACTAAACTTACTCAAAACAAAGAAGGATAATGGATGTTTAAATCAAGATATAATTTTAAACATTTAAACAAGAAGTTCCGCTTCTATGATTTTTTAAACTTCAAAACGCCATATCTCAAAACACTATTTTTTGAAGACCTTTTGTTTGTGACGTGCGTTATGCTGGTCTAAATAAACATTATTATTATTATTAACTGTTAACTTGGCACAGAATCAAGTAAAAATCGACATGCATATGGGTCTAGGAGGAGCTCGATGGCGCAAGTGGTTATCGCGTTCGGCTGCGATCGTTGAACTTAAGCAACTTTCGCAGTGGTCGGTCATTGGATGGGTGACCAAAAATTACTATCTCGAGCTCCTCCGTGCTTCGGAAGGCACGTTAAGCCGTTGGTCCCGGCTGCATCTGCAGTCGTTAGCACCCGCCAATCCGCACTGGGCCCGCGTGGTGGGTCATGGCCCAATCTCCCTATTCCATCCATATGGAAGGCCTGTGCCCCAGCAGTGGGGACATTAATAGGCTGATGATGATATGGATCTAGTGAAGATTTTCGATAGTGTGATGCATGAGGGTCCTGTTACAATTGTCAATTGTGGATGTCTTTTAATCGACTAATAGACATCCACAATTGACAAATTTTTAAATATAAAGAAAGTATTTTGAGCCTTATTGCAATTGAATAAGAATAGCACAGAAAGCTGAATTCCGTTTGAGTAGATGAGTTGTTTCCGCTACAGCGACATTATCCTCCGCCTACTTGAAATACTCCATTATAGTCTACGCTGTATGAATGAATATTGCCACTCTTACAAAAGCATTGTGAAGAATCCGCAGAAGCATTCATTCAAAAGAAATCATATTTTGCTGCTTAAGAGGCCTTTCACATTCTTTGCTTACCTACAATGCGAAGAGATGGCGCTGCCTTGCAGCTTAAGGCTAGGAAAATTTTGACGCGGCTAATAGGACCGTGGTAGCATAATGGTCAGTGCATTCGCCCGGATTGCGAAGGATGCGGGTTCGAGTCCCGTCCGCTGCCTGGTCCGCGTGGATTTTTTTCTAGTAAACTTTTCTTTAGTACTATATTATCTACAATTTCATCCATACATACGAGGGAAATCGTATGTGAACTTATTTATACATTGGTTAATTTGACTGCCAGTGTATTTGTTTCTGTAAAGAAAATACCAGCAGTATCTAAAATGAAGCTTTAAAAATATTTTCTGCTTACATCCGTTTTTTTTGGTAGTACATTACTTGTTTAATAAAACTCTATGAATTACGTTTTTGGGGTCATTTATTACAACAAGGAAAAAAGTCATTTGAAAAAAGTCTTAATAGTTCGACAGTGATAGCGAATATCTATTACATATTAATCAATACATATTATTGAATTTATGTAAGTACAAATATGAAATAACGCATTACACATTACTTAAATTTACGCTATAAACCGCTATATATTGGAAATTTACGCAAATCCAAAACAAATTAAATCATGTTAACACAAATAAACATCTATGTGACCAAGATGTAACCTATTCTAATTTAGAATAGTACGAAATTAAAAACGCGCCGCAGTCTGTCTGTTGTATGTTTTCAGTTTTACTAAAACATAGCATGTCTTCTCTTAAACTCAACTTATATTTACTGTATTTAAACTTAACACTTCAATGAAACTGAAAATCATCCCAAAAATTTTGGTTATTTAAGCGCTTATACCTAAGGTAGTGTCACTAATACAATTTAGCTTTTTTTAGTATTATAAGTTACACTGAGAATGATTTTATTTATTTTTTAAGCATTTAACTGCTAGATGTTTAAATCTAAAGAAAAGTTTACTAGAAAAAAATCCACGCGGACGGGACTTTTTTTCTAGTAATTTTTAATTTAGATTTACACTGAGAATTTCTATTATTTTCCCATAATACATTCATCGATACAAAACACACATTCACACAGACTACTATATATATTTAGTTCATGTAAATTCGCTGTTATTATTTAGCAGTCCGCGTTATGCTAAAATATATTTCCGCGCCCAAATCCTTTCTTTGCGAAGAATCAATACCAAAGTAGCTATGCGCAGCGACCTTCTCAAAGCGCAACCCTCGCGCATTGCCGACAATCGATGCCCGAATCAGTTGTCGACAAATTATTTGCCTAACACTACATTGCTGGCGCGATGGGCGTGATAAAACCTAGGTCCTATTAATTGCGACTCATGGAACTCGGGATAAACGGAGTTGTATTGATTTTGGTGTTCGGTGTGCTCGTAGGCGCAGGCGGCGATGGAACAAGAGAGCAAATCGGAGACGGTGCGACTACAGAGTGCGCAGGATACACCCCCTGTTAATGGGTAATGTATTATACATTCTGCTCTTTACTTTTATTATTGTTTATATCTAGATAGTCTAATGCTACGGCCTCACTATTACGCTAAGTTTTCACGACATATCTAACCAAGCAATAGTCGCATTCCGGACCATGTTCTAAAATATGACTGTTGCATGACACGACTTGTTATTAAAAAATGGAAAATTTTCAACAGTGAAACTATAGCATAACTGCTTTCGGCAATATGGTATCTGTACTTTGATATTTCTTGTGATAACTGCTGGCTGTTTAAGATATTTTGGAACTGTGATATTTTGGTTTTTGGAAAGTAGAGTTGTCTACTTACTTTTTTAACGGTTTCAATTCTGTATCTGAACATTTTTAAGTATTTTCCTATATTTGATTTTTACTACTGCGCAACGTTATGTAAAAGGCTGGTTTGCGTATTACACAATACATATAGCTAGGCTTTTGGGTGTGATGCTTTGACGATGAGATTGCTTTAAAGGAGATCCGCCAAATCCCATACAAAATTACCCCAGGCCCGGCGCCAAAATAAAGTAACTCAATTTTTAGAGTAAAAATAGCAAAAATATTATATAGTTTCGGTATTGCTAAATTCACATGCTAACATAGTTTTTTTGCCAGTTGAATTTTAATAGGTGCTCTTTGTAAAATTATATTTTTTAGAGAAACGTCGTCATTTTTAGTTCATTAATCTTGTAATTAGTGATTATGGTATATAAGCATGTATGTACTGTACTGTAAATATCATTAGAATATAATACAAACAAAAAGCTAAAACTAAAACATTTGACTTGATTCTTCTATTTATTTATGGGAAGTTTAAACTATTTTCTTTTCTAAATAAAAATATAACTGCAAATGAAATATCTTTATATAATATGATTGATATATACATGTTTATATGCCATTATTATTTTTTACAATGTTAATGAGCTAAAAAGGACTCTTTAAAAATATTTTTTTTTTTCATAAAGCGCTTATGAAAATTCAACAGACAAAAAGACTATGTTAGCATGCGAATTTAACAATACCGAAATTATATAATATTATTGCTATTTTTGCTCTAAAAACATAGATAGAGATACATTGCTTTAGCGCCGGGCCTGGGGTCATTTTGGCGGATCTCCTTTATAATTATCGGAATGTACCTGTAAAATTTAACGTTTAAATTGATTAAAGCTAAGCGAAGCTGTGTTCCTTTTACAAATACGAAATTAAAGAAAAAAAATCTCCTGCATTTCCACAGTACAAAACCATAACATAACGTATGTCGTAACTGTGAGTCTACATTTTAGCAGAACTACTTTAAAATATCTGAATATATTTGAATTTTCACTTATTCCATGAAAGAACATGAATCTTAAACCTTCACTTCAAAACTATTCACTAATGTACACTGGCCGGCAAAATTAAGAAACACATTTAAAATTTAACCACAAGAAGAATTTAATTAAACACAAGAGATAAACTTTCGAAATGAAATGGACTCGAAAAAGGTTAAATTTTGTAGTCCAGTTTCAAAAAAAGCTGATAAAATTATTTCTGCTGCTGCTGATAAGTTGATAAACGAGGAATGAGTTTAAATTAGTTACCCCGTGTTTTGTTCATAACACTCAAGTGCCATTAGTTATTCATTTTTTTTTGTTTCCTCCCAGGCGGGGGAGAGGGTGAGAAATCCTCATGGATACCCTACAGCCGGCTGTAGGGTTATGTCAGACTCTTACTGACTAAAAAACACTCTTTAATCATGCTTATAGCCAGAAGGGCCTTACAAGCTTCATCTGAAGCGATCAACCCCCGAGAGGGGGATGATGCGGCGCTGTGTTAGTTTAAACTAGTGCATAGTTTAAAATAACGCAAAATGCGCTTAGAGGACAAGTGCACTCAGATGTGCACTTGAAACGGGAGGGGACTGAGAGGAATCGAACCTCTCTGCGGGATTAGTTATTCAACGAACAGAGAGAAAACATAGAGTAACAAATCCAAGCTTAGCTTAATAACAAAACAAGTCATTAAAAAAAACAAGTTTCAATGGTATTATATGCACTGTACCCCTAGCACGAACCATTATCGAATTCGAATAGTTTGCAAACCGAAATGTCAATGTCAAATTTTGTATGGAAACTTGTACAGCAGCGGCACAAAGTACATAGAGGTGTACCATACCTATCAATTTAGCCCCCCTGTATGTTTTACCATTTTTAGTAGTTTCGAGTTCAATTTTTTTTCGTTTTTTTTTTATGATTCAACGATGAGACAAAGTTTTTGATGGTAAGCGGCCACCATAGCTTATTCAATCAATGAATCCATCAATCAAAATCATTTATTCAGTTTAGGCTGTTACAAGAACTCATGAATGTCTAGAAGCTACGCCATCGGTTCGTAAATCTACGGCGGAAGACCTTGTACTGAGAAGAACCGGCAAGAAACTCAGCAAGGGCTGTTTTTTCTCCCTGTTTGGTTGGTTGGTTAAAAAAATTAAAATCAGTACAGATTTTACAATGACATTTCGGACTCGCAAACGTTACGAATTCGATTTTGCTAAGGGTACAGTACCCTTAGCACGAACCAATATCGAACTCGAAAATTTTGTGGCTTTGCTGTTCAAGTTTCCATACAAAATTTGACATTGACATTTCGGTTTGCAAACTATTCGAATTCAATAATAGTTCGTGCTAGGGATACTGATTTATTGACGTTTCGAAGACCTTTTTTTTCTTTCAAATTCTTTCGAAGCTAGCTCTACGAAATAAATAAAATCTTTATTCAGACGACGCATCCTACAAAGGATGCGAAACGTCAATAAATAAATAAATCAATGCATCTATACCGTTTAAATTTGTTTTATTTAAAGAGTGGTGTGCGTGAAAACCTAACAAACAAATGAAACCTGTTATATTTATTTGTGCCATAGTTTTACAGGCCAGTGTATATTATATATATTATATAAGTAATCATATGTCTTACGAGTCGAAAAATCTAACCTAACTCATAATGTGTACAGTGAGTGATAGGTTCTTAAAATATGAGCATTATGGACCCCGTCCTAACCTAACCTAACCTAACCTAACCTAACCTAACCAAACACGGGCCTTATTCAGTAAGCCTGCGCAAAAGCATTCGCGAAACTTTATACGTATCTAATCATAATGTGTATTTTATAGCTTTGCCTCGCATTGCGAATTATCGTTTTCTGTAACTCATATAACTCGATTGTATAAAAAAAAAAACAAAAAGCTACTGGAAAAAGGAAAATCTTATCATTGTATCGAGGGGTAAATACCTAGGTATTCGATTTAACTGCCAATTTGGAAACTTTACGCTGAGCACGGTTTTAAGTTTTTTTTTTTACGGTTTTTTTCACGTGTTCATCCCTCTTATTACCTGGGATCCTTTAAAAGAGGCGTGAAGAAGCAACATGCAGGCCGGCAGGGTGAGGATGGCTGGTGTGGCAGGTAGAACTGCTGTATCAGCTATCTTCGCGTCTGGACTTCACCTTCACTTAACATCAGGTGGGGTGGAGTCATTTGTCGGACGTATCCATAATAAAAAAAAAAGTTAGAAATTTTAGTTCATTCTGGTTTCAGGTCATTCTGGTTTTTAGGTAGGTTGTATATTATTTGAACTCGATAATAAGGTTTTTCATAATATAAGTTTGTGTATATTCTGGTAGTTAGCTGCCTTTTTATTCCTTTGTATATATAAAATACATTAAAAAAAAACTGATACTAAGCATTAAATAAAGAAGAATATCTGAAATACATCAAACAATAAAATTATCTATTAAAATGAATTTTCTAATTCTAATAAATAAAAAAACTAAAGATGAGGCTGTATGGGCATTGATCCTTTTGCCTTCCCTGAAACGGGAGAACTAAAAAAAAAAAGTCGGACTCGCACACGAAGTGGAAGGGGGTTTATTTTTATGTCTAAGGCATTTTAAAAAAAAAACCTAAAAGATTATGACTAGACTATTAATATGTTTTTCAGGGAGAATGAAGATTACGATCCACATAAGCATCGGCAGTTGCCAACAGCGACTAAGTATGTATAGTTTTAATATAAGTTTTTCCTATTTTTCTGTACACAATGGTATCGGTCTTATTATGAAGCAAATAAAAAAAAACACGCTCTTTAGCACTAAGCTTTCCACATCATGGAATGTAAGCAGTCCACATTTTTTGTGTTATAAGGGCCACCCTTACAAGCGTATGACTTACCTTGAAGTATTTAAGTTTGTATTTGTACTATGTGTTCGGCTTTATGGACTACAAGTCCTGGCTATGTCATTTGATATTAAAAAAAAAAACTTTTTTGATGGTAAGCGGCCACCATAGCCTATTAGACGCTTGCGATTAGGGTTACATTTCGATAAAAGTCCGGACATTTTAGTCACAAAATGCAAACATCACCCACTTAATTACAGTGATATTATACGCGTGGTAGCAGACGCTCGCATCGCGAGGGGCGTCTCGTTGTTGATTTTTTATATTTTTGTTCTAAATTAATGAGAACTTAATGAAGATTATTTGACTTATTTGACATCACTTAATAAGTAGTTTTACTCATATTCCATTTAATTAAAAAAATCGGGACAAATTTAAAAGCCGGACAATGTCCGGACATAATTCAAAAAGTCCGGACATTTTCGGACGGATGGTAACCCTACTTGCGATACCAAAAATATCACTCGCACCGTTATCTACCCTGACCCATTCCCCTTCCCAGTGGAGAGAAATACAAGACGACCAAAAGGTAGTGTTATTTTACTGTGTTCTCCTGTAAAGTGGAGCTTACTTCCCCAATCCTAGCGGAAAATCCGCTATGCCCTACCTCTCTCAAAATATATGTGTATCACTTTGGAATGTATGTATATAACTTTGGAATGTATGTATATAACTTTGGAATGTATGTATATAACTTTGGAATGTATTTATATAACTTTGGAATGTATTTATATAACTTTGGAATGTATGTATATAACTTTGGAATGTATGTATACATATCTCTTATCTATTAGACAAGTCCGTCTGTCCGTCCGTCTGTCTGTGCTGCTGTTTCAGCGGCCAAACCGTAAGAGATAGATAAAGAGAATATTTAAGTTATAAGTTAGGAATAGTCTGATAAGACTACAAACCGGATTTGAGTAACGTAGCACATCCGGTTTTCGAGAAATCACGAATTTCAAACGAAACCACACAAAATCTCCAAAGTTCTCAATTAATTAAATACATTTTTTTTAAATCAGGTTTTGGTGAACATTTGGTTCACTGGTTTGCTAGTAACTTACTAATTACAGTACTTTTTCACAAGGTAATACGTGGTACTTTACTACCTACAAGTCCAGCTAGATTACGTCAGGCCATCTAACACTATCAAAGACTCGTTCTGTTCCAGTAACTTAGAGACGCTGGTGCACCTGCTGAAATGCAGCTTGGGTACTGGCATCCTCGCCATGCCACAGGCGTTCGCTCGCGCTGGCTTGGTGATAGGCGTGCTCGCTACCGTCATCGTGGGAGCCATCGTCACACACTGCTTGCACATGCTCGTCAGTATTATAATATACTAGCGGACCCAGCGAACTTCGTACCGCCCTAAAAAAATAGGGGTTGTCCAGCGGACAAAATTGTGAATCTCATTCTCAGATCCCCTTGAACACACACAAAAAATTTCATCAAAATCGGTCCAGTCGTTTAAGAGAAGTTCAGTGACATACACACTCACAGAAGAATTATATATATAAAGATATCTAGCTGACCCAGCAAACTTCGTACCGCCCTAAAAAAATAGGGGTTGTCCAGCGGACAAAATTGTGAATCTAAACCATTCTCAGATCCCCTTGAACACACACAAAAAATTTCATCAAAATCGGTCCAGTCGTTTAAGAGAAGTTCAGTGACATACACACTCACAGAAGAATTATATATATAAAGACTAGCGGACCCGACAGACGTCGTCCTGTCTACACGTCTTTGTGAATCTAAACCATTCTCAGATCCCCTTGAACACACACAAAAATTTCATCAAAATCGGTCCAGTCGTTTAAGAGAAGTTCAGTGACATACACACTCACAGAAGAATTATATATATAAAGATTTTTCAACATATTTGCTAAAAAATGCAATTACGGAGGTTGTATACGTTGTTAGAAAGTTCATAATTACGTGACATACAACGGAGCGTGCTTATCTTTTTGAGAGTGTATGTTGTTAGTCGCAGAGGACTTTTCCAGCGTCTTTTCCTAAGGGGACCTCAGGGCGAGAATTGACGAGTGCTTCTAGAGGTATTCCAGGCGGATGGCATCTCCCCACGGGGGGAGTCTCCTCTCCGTCTGGAGCCTCTAGACCACACGAACCTGAAGGGATCGGCTCAACTAGAGGGCGTCTCTGAGACTCGGACCTCGGCTCTAGTAGGTTTTATTTTAATTTCAGTGAAACCTCCTTGGAAGCACTTTTGATCTATACCTTTGTCTCTCTGTCTGTGTTTAAAAATAAAAAGAGACGAAAGATGTAGTTCTAATTTTCATCACCCCTCGTGGCGCCATTTAGAAATGCGCGTCATTTTCTTATTAGAAAAAGTTTTCTTAAAGCTAGTCATAACAGTATATTTTCTGTAATTTTCCTTCTTACAAGTAGTAGTACAACAGAGGTCAGCTGTTGTCACTTACCAGTCCAATGCCTATGTAAATGTTTGCGAACTTCAGTGTTTAACTTCGGTCATGAAACTTTCACCCGTGTTTCTTCCTTTTTGATCAGATCAAACTTATCTGTGCCAAAATTAAGGCATTCCCGTCACCAGTCACTCATTGCGCTAAGTAAATTACGACCATCCAAGAATATACACAGAGAAAAGAACTTCATAAAAATCAGATCTTCCATCTGTATTTTTTTTATCAAGTTTAGAGAAAGGTTTCTCCTCCTCACCTAATATGGAGTGACGGTGGAGACTAAGCAGCTGCTGCAGCAGTTTTCTTCACACTCTCTTTTATGGGAGGGAACAGCTTTCTAAGATCTGGTGGTGGATTTATTGCAGGTCCGCGCGCAATACGATGCCTGTCGACGAGTGCGTACTCCTTTGCTGACATACCCGGAAGCCATGAAGGTTGCGTTAGCCGCGGGTCCCACTTCACTGGGTCGCCTCACCCGCCCAGCCGCCGTCGCTGTCGACATCTTCCTGGTGGTCTACCAGCTCGGCATCTGTTGCGTTTACATAGTCTTCATAGCTGACAACATAAAAAAGGTTAGTAATTCCCTAAATACAAAGTCCTGAAAGAAGTATGGGAATCATTAAATAATAAAATTCCGTGTATTGGACTATTCCTAGATATGTCCAGGGCATTTGACTGCGTTTGTCATGATACCTTGCTTCGTAAATTGGATAACTTAGGCGTGCGTGGCCTGGCCCTAAAACTAATAGAAAGTTATTTGAAAGAAAGAGAACAGTTTACAGTGGTAGATTCATATAACAAAAATAGTAAAATATTTGAGGAAGTAAAATCGGAAACAAAAAAGGTAAAAGTTGGTTTACCCCAAGGAAGTATTCTTGGACCACTCCTATTTTTAGTTTATGTTAATGAACTACCAGACATTATTAACAATTTATGCGTTATGTTTGCTGATGATGCAACAATTTTCATTCCAGACTTATATAATAATAAAACTCTTTTTGAAAATCATATTAATAAAACATTGGAAACAATCGTAAGCTGGCTCAAATCTGTAAATCTTAGTGTAAATTTAACTAAAACAAATTTTATTCAATTCAGAAACTACAAAACATTGTCTTATAAATTACAAATTTCACAAAACAATACAAAAGTAACAGAAGTTGACGAAATTAATTTTCTTGGCGTCACTATTGATTCTCACTTAAACTGGAAAGACCATATTCAAAAAATACACAAAAGAATATGTAGTCATTGTTATGCACTCTCTATACTTACTGAAAGAACATCAGTAGATGTAGCCAGAGCCGCTTATTTCGGACAAGTTTACCCGCTGTTGACTTATGGTGTGATGTTCTGGGGTAATTCAGTGAACGTTCAATCCATTTTCCTATTGCAAAAACGTTGTTTACGCATAATATATAATATGTATTCAGATGAAACGTTACGAAATGTTTTTAAGGATAAGGGCTATCTCACTTTGACCAATATTTATATATTACAATCAGCAATTTTTATTAAACAAAATCCAGAATTCTTTGAAAATAAAACCACATTACGTCCGAATACGCGTAATAAATACAAATACGATATATGCATACCTAGGATAAATAATCACTTGTATTATAGTAGCGCTTTCAGTACTAGCATTAGGATCTTCAATCATTTGCCTGCAGAAATTAAAGCGTACAATTTGCCACTGTTTAAATTTAAGTTAAAAAACTGGTTATTAAATAATATTTTTTATAATCTTGATGAATATTATACTTGTAAAACTTAATATAATTTAGGCTCTAAAATGTACTTTTTAAATTAAGATAGTTTTAAGTTATAAATTTTACCATTGCATGCCCGTTATGGGCACACTGTTGTGACTATGTTATTATTGCAATTCCAACTGCATAATTGTACACAGTTTTTTAAGCAATAACGTTATTATTATTATTATTCTAGCCAACGAACTAACAAGAACAGAAAAAAAAACAAACAAACACAAAAAACAAACAAAAAAAAAAAAAAAACAAACTCAACAGGGTAGGGAATGATGGAACGTAACTCTGGTATCACAGTTATATTGTAGTGGTGTACTTATCATCAGGTGAATCATATGTAAGCTTGCCACTTTTATACTTATAATAGATGGCATGAATAAATAAATAAATAATAAATGTTTCCAACACTCACACCAATTAGCCTATCCCAAAGTAAGCACTGTAAGGCTTGTGTTATGGGATGCTAGGGTAACGGATAGAATACATATACTGTACATATATAAGTATATTTATATAGAAATACATATTAAACATCCATGACTGTAGTACAAATGCTCGTGTTCATCACACAAACATCTGCCCCCACCGGGATTTGGACCTCTCGAGTCGGCGACACCATGAAACCCGGCGTACAAACCACTCGGCCACGGAGGTCGTCAAAATCTTTAATTTGTATGTAAATTAAGTTAATGATAAAATTTATTTGTACATTTAAGATAGATTTTAATGTATAGAAAAAATAACCACACGTGTATGTTCGCTAAGCAACACAAATGGGTGCACAAATAGATGATAGATGATTGCACTTTGATCACGTGCGGCTCAGTATGTGGCGTGGCATTCCCGTACGAGGACCGTAAATTGCCTCAAGTGGTGTGTCCCCCTAGTATCAATCAGTGGTCGTGTGACGCAACCGGCTCACTACCGGCCGTCAATAAACGGCAATATGGGGGCGCATGAGTGGAGAGGGCACAGGATAAATCTTCAAACAATCGGGCGGGTGCGAATGAGCACTGGCGATGAGTTACCTCTATCTAGCAGAATGTTTTTGCTTCGAAATTGATTTGGCTTAACACACGTGGCATAAAAAAACTATAAACGATTTTTTAGGCATATTTTTATATTAATATATTTATTGCTTGGCCTAGTGTTTATAGGTCCGAATCCACAATGGCACTGTATATGATGGATGATTATAATAAATTTTATAAATAAAACCGGGCAAAGTTAATAATTGTATGCCTGAAGAAGAATTTCTGATTGTGAAATTTCTGCAATAAAATTAATGGTTCTACATTCTTTTTTTGTGGGTATTAAATTCATCTGCATAAAGATGATGATTCTCTCTTAATAATTATGTAATATATTATCTGCTAAATGAGTGAATGCCAAATGACTTTCTGCGAAATTAAATTGATGCCCTTCACTGATACGCATCATGGTATGATGACATTAAAAGTTTTGCAATACGAGGTAGATCCGGCGGTGATAAGGCACCACAGTGCTCACTTACGCGGTCAAACGCACGCATTGCATGAAGCCTCTGTGCATTATTTACTCATGTGCTGAAGGTACTTATATGTATCATGTTAAACGTCAATACCCACGCGCCGATGCGACGCCGTTTGATCAATGAGCTCACGTGCCACTCTAGAATAAAAGAAATGATCCGAGTTGCGAGTGACGAGCGATGCTCTGAATGCCGCAGAGAAGCTCCGTAAATTGACGCGCCTAAAGATGATTCCCAATCATGATGAAGGCGTTGTAAGAACAAAACACTATTACTTTTTGAAAGTAAAGCTTTTCAAATGTGAACTTAATATAATTCTGTACATGAAATATATTTTTAAAATAACTATCAGGGGGTGATTATTGATCGATACTGATGCCAAAAATGCAATCAATAAATTTTTTGTCTGTCTGTCTGTCTGTCTGTCTATGTGTATGTTCCTTATAGAAACAAAAACTACTCGACGGATTTTAACGAAACTTGGTACAATTATTCTTCATACTCCTGGGCAGGTTATAGTATACTTTTCATCACGCTACAATCAATAGCAGCAGAGTAGTGAAGGGAAATGTTGGGAAAACGGGAGAAGTTACTCCATTTTTTAAGCTTCCGTCGCGTGTGCAGCCTTAATGATTAAAGTTACATAGAAATCATGTATGACGGAAATATTCTACATAAAATTGTCTAAAAAATATACTGCAACAGCATATGTCTATCTTTTATGGTTGACTCAGAGTAACTCCCGATAGCTTAGCAGTTCGGAGCATTCTGATCATATTTGTTTACTCTTACGTTTATAATACTCTGACTCATCCCTAATTTAAAAAAGTTAACATTATTACCTATTCAATGGAAACAAAACATAGAAATCGGTATAGAAACACCAAACTTATACATGAAATAAGCCTTCGCGCCGTCGCACGTGAATACTGAATCATGCTATAAGGATTATTTTTGTGTAACGGTTGCCGCGTTCGACACGGGTCGCGGCGGCGGTAGGGTATCAAAAGGCGGGAGGTCCGAGAGCGAGCTGTTTTCTGCGTCCCCCCCCCCCCCCCTGGGGGCGATCGCTTCCGATGAAGCCTTAGAGGCCTTCCCGGCCAGAGGCAGCCCCTACGGGTGTTTTTTAGTCAGTACGAGTCTGACATAACCTAGCAGCCGGCTGTAGGGTATCCATGAGGATTTCTCACCTGCTCCCCTGCCTGGGAGGAAACAAAAAAAATAAAAAAAAGAGAGCGAGCGAGCTTCAATATTTGGCTGTTGATGCGTTCAGAGCGTTCGACCTTATTGACAGACAATAATTGAGAAATATTGAGAAACCGTGCTTATCAGCGCGACTTTTAGTCTTTAAATAGTTTATTTGAATTTCTTTTGTCGTTATTTTGTAAAATAGGTATTAGTTGTTTTGGTAGTGTTTAAATATTCGTTCAAAGTGTAATTTAATCATATGGGATGAATGAATGTACGATGGCCTATCTAAAAGGAGTAGAAGCGGTAGACAGAACTTTAAAGGATATAAGACAAAATGATCGACCAATGCGCGATATCACAGTTTTATTTTGTGGTGATTTCCGACAAACCTTACCGGTAATACCACGGGGCACCCGAGCTGATGAGGTTAGGGCTTGCCTGAAAAGCTCTTATTTGTGGCGTGATATACAATCGGTGCATTTGACTATAAACATGCGAGTGAGAACTGTAGATAACCCGGATGATCGTGAATTTTCTGATATATTATTAAAGAAAATACCTTCACCAAAGATACCTATCCACTGCTACACCAAAGAAAACTTATTCTGACGCCTGAGTTATGTTGTATAGTGCAATCCCAACAACATCTTACATCGTCAGTTTATGGTGACGTAACAAATATATTAAATAAGGACAATTCTTGGCTATGCGAAAGGTCCATTTTAACTCCTCGCAATGACCAGGCATCTGAGATTAATAATAAAATACTGTCGAATATCCAGGGGGAAAGCAAAGTTTATAGTTCAATAAATAGAATGGCCGATGAACACAAAACCACTAATTACCCGATAGAATTTTTAAATTCTTTAAATATGCCCGGACTTCCTTCTCATGAAATTTGTTTGAAAATTGGCATTCCGATTATTCTGCTCCGAAATTTAAGACCACCACAAATTTGCAATGGAACTCGGCTTAAAGTAACCCAGTTGCAACAAAATGTAATCGAGGCTCAAATTTTAACAGGTTGCGGTGCAGGAGAAACCATCTTTATTCCCAGAATTCCCATAATACCAAATAATTTTCCATTCCAATTTAAAAGAACGCAATTCCCAGTATCGGTGTGTTATGCAATGACAATAAATGGGCAGACTTTTCGTGTTGCTGGAGTAGATCTCGGTGTCAGTTGTTTTTCACATGGTCAGTTATGTCGCTCTTTCCCGGGTTAGCAGTCCTAGAAATTTTTATGTTCACGTGCCCGACGGGTCAACTTTCAACGTAGTTTACCCAGAAGCTTTGCACTGAAGTGTTTTCATTCTATATGTACTTAAGCCTCATGTGAAAGCGATCTAAACAATATTACCAATACATTAAGATAATAACATAAAAGGAGTTACACGCTGATGGTCTCGAGGTACAGTGATGATAATAATATTCTGCGGTTCCTTATTGCGATATTTTTAACAGTATTGTGGATTGACATATTATATTTCCCTACTAAAATACGAAAGTTAATCTGTCTGTCACATCAAAACCACGGAACCCTGAGGAAGGACATATGCTACTTTTTACGAAAATCGACGAAAACGCGGACGAAGTCGCGGGCAAAAGCTAGTTATATAAATAAAGTCATTGTTTATAGCACAAGTCTGAGAACAAAAACTATAGTTTACACTACAGCTCTACACCGAAGCGAAGCGAGGGCGGGCCACTAGTTTTTAAATATTTTTATAATGATTACGATCAGGTTTTTATGGTTCATTAATTAAAGGGTAACGATAAATGCTCTGAATGCCGCAGAGACGCTCCGTAAATTGACGCATCTAAAGATGGTTCCCAATCATGATGAAGGCTTTGTAAGAGCTAAACAGTATAACTTTTTGAAAGTAACGATAAAGCTTTTCAAATGTGAACTTAATATATTTTTTAAATATTTTTATAATGAATACGATCAGGTTTTTATGGTTCATTAATTAAAGGGAACGATTGAAATCCATTAGTTGACGACCTCCGTGGTCGAGTGGTTTGTACGCCGGGTTTCATGGTGTCACCGACTCGAGAGGTCCCGGGTTCGAATCCCGGTGGGGGCAGATGTTTGTGTGATGAGTACGAGCATTTGTACTCCAGTCATGGATGTTTGATATATACTTATATATAAATATACTTATATATGTACTGTATATGTATTCTATCCGTTACCCTAGTATCCCATAACACAAGCCTTACAGTGCTTACTTTGGGGCTAGGCTAATTGGTGTGAGTGTTGAAAATATTTATTTATTTATTTATTAGTATGTTGTCCGTATTTAATTTTATAGGTAGGCAGTTGAATTTTTCATATTATATTTTAATCAATTATATTTTTTATCAATTGTAACTTGTAGAAGTTACAATTTTGTAATCATGCACTTTGATGTGAATATGTTTAAGATTTCTGGTATTGTATCATTGTTTGTTTTCTTTTTAAATTGGCAATATGTACGAGTCACGTACAGTAATCTTGTATATCTGCAGCTGTATGATGCATTTCTTTGCAGCATTCAGCTGCAGATATACAATATACAATACATCATTGTTCTAGGTATATAAAAACTTAACTTTGCATAATAAATCAATGCTCGTCACGCATTCAACAAGATCACTTGTCTTTCTTCCTGAACCTAATATTATTATGTAGGGGGTCACCCCTACAATTGTATTTCTTATAACGGCTTTTCGACAAAATATGTTATATTAGAAAAATGACTTGCACAAGCATAGTTGCGTTCTTTTGTATTTGAAAAACGCTTGTTTTTCCCAGCACGAAACTACATTTGAATATTGTTTAAAATATATTCGGCAATCATTGTGCTCAATACTAACTGATAAAAATGTGAGTTCAAGTTCGTATGTTTGTTACACATTCATTTAAAAACGGCTGAACGGACTTGGATAAAATTTGGCACACTATTATTAAATAAAACCAGTTTATTACGGGTTAATGCACGAAAACTTTATTTATTTATTGACGTTTCGTAGCCTTTACAGGCTACGTCGTCAGAATCAAATTTTATTTAATTTTGTCGAGCTACCTTCGAAAGACTTTTATTGAGCGTTCGGTTATTTCATTGTTCGATTTTTAAATTTTTTATTGTCTATGTATGAATTTATTACTTAATTTAGTTAATAAAGTACTTTATTTAAAATTCTTTTTGTAATTGTGAGTTTATTTACTTGACCCTAACTACCGTAAACTACCACCGGTTTCTAAAATTGGGAGACCTTCCTGAGAAGAACCGGCGAAACAAACTCAAGAGAGGCTTTCTATCTCCTTCTTATGTTAAATTATGCAAACAAAAAGAACTAATAGTATCTGTTGGTCTTGCAGTGTGTGCTCGGGGTTGTGATTTTATCTCCTGTATAATGGGTTCCCAAGCTGGTGGTATATACCAACCATCTTCCCTATTGAAATTTGGATATTTTTTAATCCCAATAGCCTCGCGTATCATTTTAGGAATGAAACGTTGCTCAGTTGCAAGGATCTGTGGTTTATCAAATCTAATGTAATGGTTTGGTCCCCCTAATGCATGTTCACACACTGCAGACTTATTTTCGCGCCTATGTTTCATATCTGAGATATGTTATTTTACCCAGGTCCCTATACTCCTCTTTGTTTGCCCGATGTAGGAGAGCCCACAGTCGCATTCAAGTTTTTTAGACACCAGCAACTTGAAAGGGTATATTGCACTTGACTGGTCGTAGAAATTGGTTGATCTTCTTTGGCGGCTTGAAGTAAGTATTGATTGAAGCACGCTTCAGAATCCTCCCAATCTTGTCAGTGACTCCTTTCATGTAAGGTAGTATAGCAGGTTGTCGGTCGACTGTGCTGGGTTTAGCGCGACTGTGACGGCGACGTGGTACATTCAGGTTATTATCCTTCAGTACGAATTAACTTATTAGCTTGGGAACCCATTATACAGGAGATAAAATCCCAACCCCGAGCACACACTGCCAGACCAACAGATACTATTAGTTCTTTTTGTTTGCATAATTTAACATAAGAAGGAGATAGAAAGCCTCTCTTGAGTTTGTTTCGCCGGTTCTTCTCAGGAAGGTCTCCCAATTTTGGAACCGGTGGTAGTTTACGGTAGTTAGGGTCAAATAAATAAACTCAAAATTATAAAAAGAATTTTAAATAAAGTACTTTATTAACTAAATTAAGTAATAAATTCATACATAGACAATAAAAATTTTCAATATCGAACAATGAAATAACCGAACGCTCAATAAAAGTCTTTCGAAGGTAGCTCGACAAAATTAAATAAAATTTGATTCTGACGACGTAGCCTGTAAAGGCTACGAAACGTCAATAAATAAATAAAGTTTTTCGTGCATTAACCCGTAATAAAATGGTTTTATTTAATGAGTGATGTGCGTGAAAACCTAAGAAACAAATACACTATTATTACACAAATTTATCCGAGTTAACTTTAGTTTTTTGAAAATACCACGGGATCTTTACATTTCTCCGAGATAAAAAGTATCTTATGTGCCAATCCAGATCATAAACTATATGCGTACCAAATTTCATCCCAATCCATTCAGTAGTTTTTGTGTGCTTGAGTATCCAACATACAAACTTTCACATTTATAATATTAAGTAGAATATTATGTAACAAATCAAAAGCAACATGGCAAATATTAAACTAAAACTACATATAAAACTAGACAAAAATTAAAAATATTAAAAAAATAGCTGCCCTAAGTCTTCCCCGTCGGCAAAGGTTCCCAGGACGCTGGCGACATTTCCCCGCTGAATGGCGGGGCTTATGCGCTGGGCGAAATAGCCACCACCAATCTTTTCGCGATTAAATATTAAGTCATCATCATCATCATCAGCCTATTAATGTCCCTACTGCTGGGGCACAGACCTTCCCTATGGATGGAATAGGGAGATTGGGCCATGACCCACCACGCGGGCCCAGTGCGGATTGGCGGGTGCTAACGACTGCAGATGCAGCCGGGACCAACGGCTTAACGTGCCTTCCGAAGCACGGAGGAGCTCGAGATAGTAAATTTTTGGTCACCCATCCAATGACCGACGACTGCGAAAGTTGCTTAACTTCAACGATCGCAGCCGAACGCGCTAACCACTTGCGCCATCGAGCTCCTCGTATATTAAGTAATTAAGATTAAGTACAATATATTTAACAGCTAACTAAAAACCCCTGTTGACCCAACTGCAATAAAAAAGAAAACTTCCTCCCGTTACAGGTCGTAGACCCACACTACGTGATGAGCATAGAGGTACACATGGCAATCATATTGGTACCTTTGATTGCCTTCAACCTGATTCCGAACCTGAAGCTGTTAGCACCGTTCTCGGCCCTGGCGAACGTGCTCACCTTAATCGGGCTAGGCATCATCGTCTACTACCTGGTGTCTGGTGAACGCACATCGGAACCGCTGGACTTGTGGGGCTCGGCTGCAACCTTCCCGCTGTTCTTCGGGACCGTCCTCTTCGCACTGACTGCTGTTGGAGTGGTCAGTTATATAATCACTTTTTTGAAAAGCTTTCTTACAATAAATCAGCTTGCGATATCGAAACTCCAACGGCCAGTTGCATTAATCTACCTCCAGAAAGAAGAATCTGATCAGTAAGGATAATCAGGTCCAGTTTCTAAGCAAAAGAAAGGTTTAAAAATATATAACCAATAAAGATCTCGGCCTGTTTCTTTCTGGAGTATGATTTATTGAAAGTGGCCTGAGTCTAACTTTAAACTGTGCTAACTCTGATTATCGCATTAATTTTCGTTATAGTCTAATGGTGCCTTTACCGGTTTTAATTGGAACTTAATGGGGTTGTGAAGTAAGAAGAAAGTGCAGCTAAACAACATCACTACATAGTATAAAGCAAAGTCGCTTCCCGCTGTCTGTCCGTATGTGCCTATGTATGCTTAGATCTTTAAAATGTGTTTTTTTAATAGATAGAGTGATTCAAGAGGAAGGTTTATATGTATAATACATGCATAATATAGTAGAGAAACACTGATAATTTTATAGGTTTTTAATGTAAGATCGTAAATAAACACATTTTTATGCGCTTACATTGCAAACGCTGGCTGAACACTACAAGATAGATCAAAATAATGTACTACAGTATCGTACACCTTAAAAAGGTCTATAGAAAAGTTCGCGATGGTACATGTCTATCTTTTAGGGATAACCCACAATAACCATTTTTCATTCTATACTTTTTACGAGAAATAATAGCTTATTTACGAAGCGATTTTCAGCAATATAACATTCATCCTTAACCAATTAAATCGTAATAATATTATGCTATTCAATGTGCCTCCATTGAATAACAGTGGATCGGTGCGGGCTAGTTGCGATTTCGATTCTGTACCGAATTTGATGTACTGTACATACTGTTCACTCTTGGTCGAGCTTGGAGTCGCCGCGCCTCTCCTGGAGTAAGCAGCATCTTAAAAGGGGAGGCGGGAAATGTATACTTAACTTCTACGATCGCAGCCGAACGGGCGAATCACTTGCGCCATCAAGTTCCCCCACTAGCCGAGTGTAAGAGAATAAAATACACTGTGGTGAGAAACAATAGCTGCTGAGTTCGATATGTTATCGACAGGCGACCGCACCTAACCTGTACCCCTCGAAGCCGACACACGGGTGGTGTGGGAGGCGCAGAACTTAAGCTCATGCCTAATAATTAATTACACTTTATTGAAAACACAAAACACTTGAGAATAACACAGTTTAAAAAAAGAAAAAAACCTGTACCCCTAGTACGAAGCATTATCGAATTCGAATAGTTTGCGAGTGCTAAATGGCAATTTCAAATTTTGTATGTAAACTTGAACAGCAGCGCTACAAAGTACGTAACGAGAACAGCAGCGGCACAAAGCCGCTGCTGTTCAAGTTTCCAACAGAATTTGACATTGATATTTCGGTTTGCAAACTATTCGAATTCGATAATGGTTCGTGCTAGGGGTACCGATTCTTAACGAAAATACACTTATTGACCGGCTCGGTATCGTTTCGTTTGCTACGGTTTTGCTTGCGGGTGTGACGGGACATGCGAGTTGAATGAGGGCTACCGTTTTCTGCCTCACCAGATGGCGCCACTGTTGAGTGAGGTCCTAAATTGTAACTTATTAATACGCACATGAAACCAAAGGTTACATTTAGATCGTATTTTAAAACCAAAGAACCATATCCTAAACATAATAGGCCATGCCACAGTGACGCGCAGTTCCGTTTTATTCGGAAAAAATGGGAACATAATCATTTTTGTAAGCTCAAATTTTTGATAACTGACATTCATTGTCACATAACTCATATTTGCCATAATTAAGCCGACTTGTTACCAATTATTCACAACATTATTTTAATTAGAAATAAACCCGCGTAGTCAACCACCAAGCAATAACATTTGATATTTCGGAGACCTCGCGCTACACTAGCGCCTCTAGCGGCGGATTCATACGCGATAGCCCTCATTGCTCAGTAGCATTCGGAAGCACTGTACAGAGCTGTGTATCCGCTCGCTAATTCTATACCAAAACTACTTAGTGCAGCCTTTTTTGTATTTAATTAAGCATTTGATTAAGACATGTACCTTACACAATTCGTTATGTTCATCTATAAAGTCTAAAAAATATTACAGAAACTGTTAATCGACGTGTGTAATTTGTTCCTTATTTCTTAAAACGCAAAATGCTAAGCTGACTCATTTTCCAGTTCAAAATGGAGGCAGCTTCAAAGTTAGCATGTTTTTTATAGAGAGTTAATAGGGTATTTGACAGTATTAAAAATAAAGTGCCAATTGTTAGCATCTGTTTAGCATGAATATTGGCAGTGGTTTTTACTATTATTACAAAAAAAAATATTCATAATTTTACTAAAAACTAACGAAAAACATAATAGTTTTCTTTTCTATTGTCATGTGACTTGGCGGAGCCTAAAATGACATCACACACAAGTAAACTTCCGGTTAAAGTGACATTACATTGTATCGTTTGACTTTTTAATAACTGTCGTGTGACATCACATACTAGTAAGACGCCATATTGTCCAGAGAAACGTTTACGCGGCAACTTCGAAATGGAGTTTTTGATTTGGTTATTTTTTACTGAAATACTCAACAGAATGATGAATATCCACTTTTTACGGACTTCATAAATATAAGTCAATAACGTGAGATCGTTTTCTAAAACTTGTCTAATACCCTATTGCATATCCATCGATACCTTTCAGGGCAAGTAACTTAGTGGCGTTTGTAATAAAGCAGTAGTGGATCAATAAATATCTCGGTGGCTATCGTTTCTATATATTTGTCAATAACCTTTAGCGAATAGACAGGACTAATTGCTGAAACAATGCAAATTCTGATTAATTTTTCCACTCAAATTTAAGCAACTTTGATATTGTTGAATGAGCCGTAGTCACAGACATAGATCAAATAGATTACGCAAGTGTATGTATTTCGCGTGCCAAAAGAGAGACCAATGGTCAACCTTTCACGCTTTATTCTTCATGTCACCGTCTCAATACCGGACGTCAATCGTAATTTTTATAAAATATCTATGTGAAAACGATTTTATTAAAATAGGTTACCGGAGCCCATCTTCTTATGGGAGGGTGGACCGCTTGCGCTGCCAAAGGAGATGGATGCCACAGGGGGTCTGTGCCCCCCCCCCCCCCCATGTAACAAAGGGGAAACCCCAGACCCACGCCACTTCCTCACCCATGGATCACCCACCAATCCCCTTTCATCCTCCAATCCCTTTTTTTTCACCCTCGAAACCCCTTTTCATCCACGAATCCCTTTTCACTTTCACTGTGCTCAAAAAAGGATAGTTTAAAGTTATCACTTCTGTCATGCGTCCTTAAAATGCACACGTATTTTTTTTTTTCATATCTACTCAAAATCTGTCACGCTGGGTTTCCATACAAATTAAAGTTCATGCGGCGTTTACTCCAATCTAGGAGGTAGTAGTAGTAGATGGACGCACTTCTTCTTCTTCTGCCTCTTCTAGGCAGGCGTGCACTATCCTAGGCCTCATAATCGCTTTCCATCAGGCGAGATTGTGGTCAAACTCCTTGCCTATTAAGCATAAAAAAATATGTGTTTTTATAAATAGACTGTTAATAAATATAAAATTAGACTTTGCCCTATCCATATATGGTATTGTGCAGGTGGTAGCGCTAGAGAACAATATGAAAACGCCCAAGTCGTTCGGCGGGCCGTGCGGCGTGCTCAACGTGGGCATGACCATCATCGTACTGTTGTACGTGCTGGTGGGCGCGCTCGGCTACGTGTTTTGTGCTTCTAAATGCAGTGACTCCATCACCCTCGACTTGCCGCAGGGGCCGTAAGATAATACTTCATAATAGTGTCTATAACAGGGAGCTGGATAATACATTGGTGGGTCGTGCTGCGTACTCATCGTGGGCATGACCATCATCGTATTGTTGTACGTGCTGGTGGGCGCGCTCGGCTACGTGTTTTGTGCCTCTAAATGTAGTGACTCCATCACCCTCGACTTGCCGCAGGGGCCGTAAGATAATACTTCATAATAGTGTCTATAACAGGGAGCTGGATTAATACACTGGGTGGCCGTACTGCGTACTCAATGTGGGCATGAATATTATCATACTGCTGTACGTGCTGGTGGGCGCGCTCGACTACGAGTTCTGTGCCTCTAAATGCAGGGACTCCATCACTCTGATCCACCTTAGGGGCCGTAAGACGTCTTTCCTAATAGTGTCTATATCAGAAAAATGTATAAATACATTGGTGGGCCGTACTGCGTACTCAACGTGGGCATGAGCATTATCGTACTGCTGTACGTGCTGGTGGGCGCGCTCGGCTACGTGTTCTGTGCCTGTAAACGTAGTGACTCCATCACCATCGACCTGCCGCAGGGGCCGTAAGGTAATCCTTCAATAAATAAATCAAACCGGAGGAAACTTTACACTTTGTGTCGACTGATAGCTCTGTTGGCCGCTCGACCAAGCCGACTCAATGGTGAACTTAAAAAGTAAGAGTTTGTTATTTTTTTAACGACTCCTACAAAAGGAGGATGTTCTATATTTATCGTGTAGGTATGTATTTTTTGTTTTGATACCGTAAACACTTTGATTGGTTTAGAAAATTACCAACAATTAGAAATGATGGCAAAATGAGAATGATCAAAGTGCACTTTGCAACTTCGAGTCATACTGTGCGAAATAACCTTGCCCTAAATCGATTCATAACTGATTTGTCTAGGTATTCCTCTACTGCAAAGACATTTAAATAAATACTATAGTGAATACTTGCTCTAATGTCTATTGCATTGTTTTTTTAAACACACCATAATAATGGTGTGTTTTGCGAGGTGCCTAGCCTCAAAGAAAGCACTGTAAGGCTTTTGCTATGGGATACTAGGGTAACGGATAGAATACATATACTGTACATATGTAAGAAAAACATCCATGACTGGAGTACAAATGATCGTATTCATTACACAAACATCTGCCCCCACCGGGATTCGAACCCGGGATCTCTCGAGTTGGCCAAACCATGAAACCCGGAGTACATACCACTCGGCCACGGAGATAAAAAAAGGAGGTAAATATATTAATAATAAAGTAAAATTTCATGTCTCTTGTATAAAAAGGATAACAATAAATGGTGCCAAGGGAATCAGTTTAATATTCCGAATTGCACGATTCGCCCTTAAGATTTTAACTCGTTCAAAAGTGGTTTTAATCAATTGATTGTGTTGCTATAGTTATTAAATAAAAAAAAGCAGAAAAACAGGTAATGGGTAATATGTAGTTGCTATCATTTGCAAATACAATAGGCAATTGAGCTAAACGTATCTAATGATGTACGAGTAATAGGTGGCCTTGTGTCGCTTATTATATTAACTGAGAATGTATTATGCGTTATAGGTACTATGAGATACATATGTCAGAGTTTTCATTCACGTATCCTTCATCCATTTAATACATCTATTCCACAAAGGAGATTGCTCATATTGGCCCAAATGCACAAAAAATATTGACATATACGGTAATTCTTGGCGTAATTTATACTTTATTTTACAGTCATTAGATTTTAACGGACACCTTTGTTTATTATGTTCATTTAAAAAAGGACTTTTAATTTTACCGGTTTGCAAAACAAATGAATCATTTTTAATGGCTATGGGTGTAGTAATATTCAGCCAAAGATTGATCGAAGTTGTCTACATAACATAAAATCAAATTTATTTTGTAAAGATTGATAAAATAAAACTTTTTTTAATTACACTGTATTAATATCTACAACTATATTATCATTTTCACTCCATGCAAATGTGCTATGACAATTATTATAGATGGTAGGCGACATCATAAAGTCTATTGCCATACCTTTTTCGCCAAACACCTCCATAAACACATTATACGGTGTAATACACTAAAAATGTAAGATATGGTTATAATATAAACATAACAAAAATAACGAGAATTTAAAAATTCTCTCTAATCTGTGGCTCATTCACAATCATCACACAGTTTCTGTCACAAAGTACCTTATTATATAACCGGAAATGCATAAATGATACCTTAATGAAAAGTTACTCTTGTGTATTAACTTTAAAAACAGGCAACTATCTGTTAATCTGCATGCTCTATATACCTGAATCTAATTCATAATTTCGGTACTTGGCTTGATTTCTCTAGTTTACTATATAACTTATTTGTTTTTTATTTATTATTTTAATACCTATGTACCTATTTCCAAACATAACCTTAAAATCGTTCAGTGTATATGGTTTATAGAAGTTCTCAGGGGTGTCCGTCAATAGTATTCTTTTCTACAGTAATTTATATATAATTTCGAATCTAGGAAACAATTTTTCATGATTATTAGTCTTTAGGCCAAACATGTATGGAAGCTGAGCAATCTCCTTTCCACTGCAGTGCTATTATGTGAGATGTATGTGATGTGAATGTTTTGGTCACCTATTCTATGAACAGCCATTGGGAAAGATGCTTAACTTCTACGATCGCAGACCGAACTCACTAACCGTTGCATCCCGAAATTGCTCTGTCAATTGTTTCATGGGACTAGCACAATATGATGATATTGATCAGCATAGATATATATGTAAGATGCAATCTCACTTACCATCACATTTATTCGAATTTCTGACAAATGTCTAACATCTAATTCTGGCTACTTCTACAGACATAGCGACATTGTGCCGTGTAATGGCGTAATGCATGAAATTAAATGAAATGAAAAGTCATTTATTCAGTCTAGGCTGTTACAAGCACTTGTGAAGGTCAAGAAGCTACGCCATCGGTTCGCAAAACTACGGCGGGAGACCTTGTACTGACAAGAACCGGCAAGAAACTCAGCAAGGGCTACTTTTTTCTCCCTGTATTGATATATACAGAGTCGTCAAGTTGAAAAATGACTTCAGAGATACTTCTGAAGTCACCTTCCATCACATTATTTAGGATATAGGTATATAGTTACAATAAATTTTATATTTAGTATATAGGAAGCGGCATTAGATAGGTACCATATTACTGTTACAAAAACTGACTCATACCCATCAAATAACAAATTACAAGAAACACTATGTCCATGCATTTTGATCATTTAGATAATCATTAACTTTATAGTAGCCCTTATTCATAAGAGTATTCTTAATCTGAGATTTAAATTTGGTTAGTGGAAGCTCAATCACATCTTGGGGAACTTTGTTAAACAATGCAATACTACATCCCAGAAATGAACCTCTTCATTTTTGGAGTCTGAAACATGGAATGGTAAGCTTGTTCTTAAATCTCGTGTTAAAGTTATGGGTTTGACTTTTTTTTGCAAATGCGTCATGTCAAACTAATGTTTAAAATGGCTGCTACCAAAATCGTAAGTGAGATATTATTTTTCAGTATCGTCCCTATAGTTATGTTAACATTTTGATTACTAGGTGTGAGCGTTCTAAAGACGAACCGGTTTCAAGGACCGTTTTGTGTTCCACGACGATAGAACCGTTTTACGTTTCGAATCAAAACAGTCTTCGTCGAACAACTAGTCCTCGGATTGTCTGCACGCCAATATGTACTTTATGATGAAGTAAATACAGTCTATAATAGAACGCAATGATATGAGGCCGTTTCGTTCTATGATAATTAAGCTTTGATTTTACAATAATATAATCTTTATTATTGAACATTTAAAGTCGATTATCGTATAACACTACATTTCTTTCGATGTTTCGTCGTCTCGTTCGCAGCAACGAAACGAACGTTAACAAGATTTCATTTAGTTAAGTTTCGTTGCGTTACATTCCTTCGACCGTCGCGTCGCGTCGCGTGTCGTTTCGTTGCGTCACCCAGCCGCAACCAAAACCAGTTGCGAACGAGAACCGTTTCGAGGACTAGTTTTCGTTTAAGAGAAAACGGTTGCGTTTCGTCGTCAGAAAATTTGAGAACGACCCACCGCTATTGATTACAGACTCGCGTCTTCGGTGATAATAATGTTCGCCGTTGCGATCTTCATTAGCTACGGCCTGCATTGTTACGTGCCCGTGGAGGTTGTATGGAAGGGATACTTACTGCCCAGGCTGGAAGCTGGCGGCTCGCAGCGGATCACGATGTGGGAGTACGCGTTACGGATAGCACTGTGTCTGTTGACTTGTGAGTATCTCTTATCTATTAGACAAGTCCGTCCATCTGTCTGTGGTGCTGTTTCAGCGGCCAAACCCAAAGAGATAGATAAAGAGAATATTTAAGTTATAAGTTAAGAATAGTCTGATAAGACTACAAACCGGATTTGAGTAACGTAGCACTTCCGGTTTTCGAGAAATCACGAATTTCAAACGAAACCACACAAAATCTCCGAAGTTCTCAATTAATTAAATACGTTTTTTTTTTTTTATTCAGGTTTTGGTGAACATTTGGTTCACGGGTTTGCTAGTTTTGTTTATTAGTAAATTTACATTACACCTTTTGGTTTAACAATAGACTTTAAGGTTCCTCGTTTCATAAAAATCATTTCAGTGTGTAAGGCATGGAAGGTCGAGGGCAGAGTCAGACCGGAATGACGGCAATACGGTGAACACTTTATGACTGAAATCAGTGTAAAAAAAATAAGCTTTAATCTAAATACTTATAAGAACAGTACATCCTAGCATGAACCTTTATCGAATTCGAATAGTATGCAAACCGAAATGTCAATGTCAAATTTTGTATGAAAACTTGTACAACAGCGCAACTTTGGACGTAACGGGAACTAAAAATCAGTACACATTTGACAATGACATTTCGGACTCGAAAACGTTACGAATTCAATTTTGGTTCGTGCTAGGGGTACAGTATTGCTTGAAAAGCTCGAGGACGCCACTCGCGAAATCGCGGCGCCTTTTCAAGCGATTCTAGCCTTTTAAGCATGTAGATATATTTTAAAATTATTTCACACTGCTTCCAGTGTGAAAATGCTCGCTGCGCACTTTGACCAGATTCAGTATTTTAATACTTTTTCAGAATAAATTATTGACTTATTTAAAAAAAAAATGTATTCCCACTTTCACAAAAACATAATACCTATTTTCCTGTACAATTTGGTATATTTCAATACCTATGTTTTTGCGGTGCTCCAGTTTTTCGTAAAATTATTCTGGTCACTGTCAAATAACTAATATCCATTCCAGTCTGAATCGACCTTGTCAGACAAACTGTGCATTATTCTTAGTTATCGTATTAAACGTGTGATATTTTATTTCTTTGCAGTCATCCTGGCAGTGGCAGTGCCGCGACTGGGGTTGTTTATATCCCTATTTGGAGCCTTATGTCTATCGGCATTAGGTGTCTGTTTCCCTGCTGTGATGGAGGCTTGTTTGGCTTACGGGCGGAGGGAGAAAGCTCGCCTTTTGTTACTCAAAGACGCTTTCTTAGTGATAGTAGGCCTTATAGGCTTAGTAGCAGGCACTTATACAGCCTTGCTGGCTATTGTAAGGTCTTTTGGCTAAACAATTCATATTTTATTATGTCTAAGTTTCGGGACTGGGGCCATTCGTGTGGGATCTAATTGTATACCAAAGATCGATGGTGAAGACTTTACTTAAGGTTATGAATATTATTTTCTAAGGTATGGTGTTATGAATAATCGTGATAGCTTTTCTTCTGTAATATTCAAGTTAAAATATAGTCATCATGCTGTTTTATTGTTGTTGGGGCTCGTCATAACAGCTCGATGACATAATGTTCTCCTAAAGGCTTTTAAAAAAAAAATGTTTTTTTTTTTACTTTATTTAGTTTTTTAAGTTTGATAATTACATTTTTTTTAATTAAAGTTAAAATGCGGTTGTGGCGCTGCTTACAGGTCCCTACAGCAGTCTGAATCTATATTATCATGTAATTTTTCAATATTATCCAGTCCACCTAATTATCCAATCCCAAAGCGTATGGCGTCAATCTATAACCAGTTCGAGATTTTCGCCTACAACTTGGAGTACAATAACTTTTTGGTTAAAATTTATCTGTCGTGCTGCCTTTCCACCTAGTGCTCAGAACAGTTCCGAGCGAGCAAACATTTATTAGCTTTGTAAATGAAATACTCGAAACGATGTCGTGTTGTTTCCATTGATGACTGACTTTTTGAAGTTATTGAAGTTACACTTCTTTAGGCGCGTTATGAAAAAATGATGAGAGTGAAATTTTAAGATGCGCGCGCATCACTGTAACACAAAATTTTAACAGCATGAAGTTGGTCGCTTTAGCGACCAACTTCATGCGTTACTTTTGTGTTTACCGCACATTAAGAAAATCTACCAACAAAATAGAAATAGAATCTCTATTTAGTGGGTGCTAACGACTGCATTGTGAAGGCCTATCAAAAGTATTTATTAATCTGGAACAACGGAACCAAAGCGCGATTCAGGAGACTACAGCGCCATCTCTTGACCATTGGTGTAGTAGAACCAAAAACCACATCTTTATTTTTTGTAATAAAGTAACAGTTATAGGTATTCATATTTATAATATTTATCCACATGTTTCTAGTTTGTATATTCGGAATACGTGTTTGAGTTTTATACAAGTGCAAATCACATATGTTCTAATAAATTATATTCAGTAGCGACTTTAATTGAATATTTTGATTATTTATTTATTTTTTATAATTAAAACTGAACTTTATTGACTGTGCCTTTTCCAGACTTTTTATTAATTTATTGTAATTAATTATTTACATGCAATTAAAAACTAATTTTAAACGATGCCAAAGAAGGATAACTTTTCACGCGCCTACATAAGTACACGCACCCATTTTTTTTTGAGTGTGTATGCTGTTGGTCGCAGTTGACCTTTACAGCGTCACCGGGTTTGGGGACGGCGAGGTCCTAAGGGGACCTAAAGCCGAGTATTGGCGAGTGCCTCTAGAGGTAATCCAGGCGGATGGCATCTACCGACGTGGGAAGTTTTCTCTCCGTCTGGAGCCTTTAGATCACTCGAACCTGAGGGGGTCGGCTCAACTAGAGGGCGTCTCTGAGACTCGGGCCTCGGCTCTAGTACGCTTAGTTACGTCCCTGTACCTGATATAGCGTGTCGTGTGGAGACCGGGTCTTCGCACTTTACTCCTACGGGTGCGGTGTCTGTCTAATGCTTAGCTAGTGTGCTTGTAAGCTAGCTGTGTAGTGTTGGTGTTTGTGACCTGTGTGGGAGGATTTGCAGGCGCGTTGGCGCGGGTGATTTCGTCGTCGAGGTACTCTAAACGACCTCATCAATCATCATCATCAACAGCCTATCATAGTCCACTGCTGGACATAGGCCTCTCCAAATGCAAGCCACTCAGATCGATCTTGGGCTACTCGCATCCAGCTCCTGCCAGCCACCTTGCGCAAATCGTCACTCCATCGTGCCTGAGGACGTCCTACACTACGTTTGCCTAGACGCGGTCTCCACTCCAGAACTCGTCTACCCCAACGGTTATCGGTTCTTCGGCAAATATGGCCAGCCCACTGCCACTTCAACTTGCTAATCCGGTGGGCTATGTCGATAACTCTAGTTCTCTGTCGGATTACCTCATTTCTGATGCGATTTTTCAGCGAAACGCCGAGCATAGCCCTTTCCATAGCGCGTTGAGCGACTTTGAACCTGTGGATCAGCCCTGCTGTCAGTGTCCACGTCTCGGCTCCGTATGTCATCACAGGTAGGACGCACTGATTGAAGACTTTCGTCTTTAGGCACTGTGGGATCGACGATGCCAGGACTTGACGTAGCTTCCCAAACGCTGCCCAACCTAGCTGAACGACCTAGACCGACGGAATCGGAGGGACCCACGATTGGAGGACGGGATGACTGAGCAAGAGAGCATTGATTCTTTAAGTCCAGTCAAACATCATTACATTATACATTAACTCGTTCGCCCGCTCTGACATTTCCATTTACCAAGCTAGCAAATGTTTGCGTGTTCAGAACTGTTGTGCTTTATTACGACCTCCGTGGCCGAGTGGTTTGTACGCCGGGTTTCATGGTGTGGCCGACTCGTTATGTGATGAATACTAGCATTTGTACTCCAGTCATGGATGTTTAATACGTATTTCTATATAAATATATTTATATATGTACAGTATATGAATTGTATCCATTTACAGTGCTTACTTTGGGGCTAGGCTAATTGGTGGAAATATTTACTTATTTATTTTATTTATTTAGTGGAAATGCGACATAGATAGAGCCCACGCGAATGGTCTTTGTGCCATAAAAATACCAACCGAATTGAGAATCTCCAATTTTTTAATTCGGTTAGAAACAAGCTCTTAGCTTCGTATCGTCGATAGTGTTATTATAATTGTAAATGAGCAATGCAAATTCTAAAAAAATAATATTTCTACCATCGAAACAGTCCACCGCCACGGGAAGTATACGCGGTGACTTTACCCTCTACTGGCGTTTGGGATTCACAGTAGGGGAATATGGACATGCCCAAGTGGGAGACCATCTTTCAGAATTGTATTTGAATTTAGCGCAAACAATACGTCAATTCGTTTTCAATTTGGTCACATGCGAGGCTGTTTTAGTGTGATTGACATCTGATTTTTGCTAAAGGACGCCCGGCATTTTGTGCCAAAGTTGTATACTTTTTTAATTTTTTTATATGTGTTTCATAATTGGGTAACGTAGTCTGGCAATATTTGTCATCAGCAGCTAGCTGTCAATGTCAGATACGTAGGTTTGTCATCAAAAGGGTTTCTATATCAAAAAATATTAATCATTAAATAACTTTTTTCCACGATTCACTAAAAATAAGGCAAAAGTAGTTTTATGTAGCAAATAATTTTGGCTTTATTTTGAGACCAAATTCAACTGTATACAAGTTTAGCATTTTTTCCATGAAAAGTGCCTTTAAATGCAATTTTAAAAGATGGCTCAATTTTTCCCACCTGAGCAAGACTTTCAGTTTTCCTCTACGACCTCATGTATATGTAAGTTATGACGCGATGACACTTGATCGTTAGCCCGAATATTTACACTGGAATACGGGCTGGAAGACGGTGTCGGGTTATCAAAACTAACACTTCGGGTAGTATTTCGGGCGTACTCGACTCCGTGCATTTACACTTTGTCGTTTAGCCGAATTCCATTGGCACTAGTATTCGGGCTAACGACCTAGTGTACTCGCGCCATTAGATTAAGATACCACAGACCATCTTAGATGAAGCTTATTGTTGTGCACCGTCGAGCTTCAAGTGAACTAATATAAGACTCCTAGGATTTCCAGCCAAATTTTATAGATGATATTAGATAAATATATTATTAGAGACACATTTTGTTCCATCATACATACATCAGCTCAATTTTGGAATTGTTATATTTTCTATTTTGCATGTAACGTGATTTTATGAATAATTAAATTTGAACCGGAGCGGCAATTTATGCGTTATTAGGTCCAACCGTGGTCCAACACATATTAAACGAAATCTCACATGGAAGCGATTAAAAATGGGAAACATTATTTGATTAATTAATAAACACAAGGCTTGTGTTAGATACTTAGGGTTTGTATTGTCATGAATTCGTTAACTTGGCATGCACAACGAAGGTGCTGCCAACTATCGTCGGCAATTCGAATCTTGTACTCAAATAAAAATTGACATTTATAACAAGTAAACAGCAAAGATTTAAATATTTGGTAAACATAATTAATTTTATTTGTGAAAATCATTATTCTTACTAATCACAGTGCATTGTTGCATTTCTGAATGTACCAATACACCCACAAAGAAATAAAATAACCAAACATGAATATAATCAAAGAAAACAAGTTACTTATCGCATTAATGAAGCTAAAGACAGATTTACGTTTCTCGGTATTAATAAAATTCCAAATTCATAGGACGACCAAAGAAGAATATTTGAAAACAACTTGCATTGAAAATGTTCATTATTATGGCTCTCAAAATCAACCGTCCAAGCAAACATGCCAGAACCAAGCCAGAACCATTTAAACGTCATTATGAACTGAGATTTTTTCATTTCTCAACTTCAACAGTTAAACAAAAAGTCCACGTGTACTCAGATTATAAATATTGGATATAAATAGTTTGTGCGACAATTTTGCCAGTTATCACAGCCTCATTTTTTTCATTGATATATATAAAAGAGAGATATACAGTGCTTTTATGCATTATTTGATGGATAAACCTTCATATTTCAGAAAGATGTCCTCAGAAATTTTATGAGTGATTTAAAAATGTATGTAGCTTTAATGTTCATCACATATTTGTTAATTAGGATGTTGAATTCTTTACAAGTATACATTTTTGAAGGCAGTTGTCTGTAGTGCGTAATTAAGTTGTAACATAAATTGCTTTCTTAAAATTATGTTTGGAATACAGAAAATTGTGATATTTGTAATCGCTGGCGTAGCTGCACCGACGGAGGCAAATTTTGCCGCATTTTGTTGGTACATAATAACTTTTTCTATTATTATTGATAACAATATATTGGCATCTTTTATTTTAGTTAC